GCTTGTCCAAATCCATTCTGGATTATGCTTCATATATCTCAGGGTGAAAAAGGTCAGGGTGTTATGCAGATGCCCCAGAGGCTGAGAATTCAACAATTGACATTACAGGCACCTCACTGAGTCAATGACTTCAGCCCCTTCCACCTTGCACTGTTCCTATCGGCCGTGAAGGGCTGCTCAAAAAATCTTTCAGTAAAACAGTTTTATAACAGAAAATGAGGTTTTTGGCTTAGCCAAAAAATTCCCTGGAATATATCTGTTTTCCTTGGAAATGTTCAATACTGTCAAAGAACAAGGGTTTTCATGCAGACAATATTCGTTGTTGTTGTTGTTTGTTTTGAACTGAAAGCTTACTTCTTTTTAAATGAAAAGTCAAAAATTGGCTGCCATGATTTCAACAAAACACTTCGTCACCGACATTTTCTATGGAAACGTCCTCCTTTTCCCATCCACCTGAAGGCACATGGGATCAGCCAGCCAGGAAAAAAGAACACTGAACTGAAAGGGGACATTGAGCCCAGTCCCCCATGTGCTCAGGCAGCCATTTTCCCCAAGGATGCCCCAAAATTACCATTTCAAAACTTCTCTTCCAACTTGAAGGAACAGGAACGCTTAGAACACCCTGTCACATGCCAAAGGTAAAAGCAGGGGTTCAAGAGGACTATCTTTTGCCACTGCAGTGACATGCTGTAGGTACTAAATACATGCTCAGAATCTATATCTGGAAAGGCTGGAGCTCTGGCTTTCTACGCTAGCCATGCCAAAAAGGTATTTGCTCTGAAAAGTGGCAGCTTTATACTAACCAGAGACAACCCACAAAAGGGTCAGGATTAGCCCAGATGAATAGGGTCTGAAAACGCCTTGCTTTCTTAGCCAGAGCTTCATTGCCTTAACAGCCAAATGTCCCACAGTCATGGATGCATTTCTCCTCGCAACTCCCTTTGGAGCTGGGGCAGCACTATTGTCTCATCTTACAGCTAGGGAATACGAAGCACACAGGACTCATCCATGGACACAAGAGATAGGAGTCAGGGCACTGACAGGGACTACCCTCCTCTCCATCTCTTTCTCCCAATGCAGGGCTCAGCCCCCCACAGCCTTCCCTTTAGGTCCTCCCAGTTAGTTCCCCATCCCCCATTGTGCCCCAGTGGTTGCTCATGTGAAATGCCCTGGCTGTATCATAAAACTCAGCTCGTAGCTGCCTAGGTTATAGAGCTGCCATCCAAACTAGTTCTTGGGTGGCTCCCTTGTTTTTTTGCAGTTGGGACTTGAAAGGCCGTGCTCTTCAGTGTTGCTAGTGCTGTTCCACGCAGGTCAAGATTAAGGCACGTGGGAAGAAACAGCGGGAAGGAGGCCTGTCAGGCTGGTCTCTGGGCACAGCCTCTGGTACCTCTCACCAGGGCTAAATTCACACAAAATCACTTCTAAAATGTTTGACCTGTGCATGGCTCCTGAATAACGCTGCTTGGTGAGTGCTTTTTTGCCTCACACACCCCAGGATTGGGTCACCTCAGAATTACCGCTTGCATCCTTATTCCTATTTTTTTACATGTAGGAAACCAGAAGCATTGGCCAATCCCCTGCTCCATAATGGCTGTGTATAGACAAAACAAGGGGCATGTGTGCACGACAGTTTAAAGCGGGTTGAATGCTTTTGCACTGCTTTAATGGTGTTGACGTTTGCATGCATCGGTGGCATATTGTGCAGTAATTCCAGCCACTAGCAAATTCAGTGGCGTAATGCTCCTTAAATGACTTGCGGCGCAGCAAACTAAAAAGTTTTAGTTTGCTGCCCTACAGCTGTGGAGTGAAGCACCGGGGCTCTGCAGGAAGCCTGGCAGGAGCCGGGGAAGGCAGGCTCCACCCAAGAAAAGTGGCGAGTCTGATATTTTTTTTCCTGCTGGAGCTAGCCTGCCTGCCTGAGCTGTGCAGGGACCCGGTGCTTCCCTCCATGGCTGCGGTGCCCCCTGGGACCACCCCGAGCCAGGTGCATGCAAGTGGGTGCCGCTTGGGGGTGCCCCGCTGCTGCCGTGGAGGGAAGCACCAGCCCCCACCACAGCCCAGGGACCGTTCTGCCCACCGGCAGCTCGCCCTCCCCTCTCCACCTCCGGAGAGGCAAATAAGTTTGGGAGTGTGCATGACACAGGGGTTTAAAGGGCCCTAAATTGAAGCAGCGTGTTTTGTCTACACGCGCCCAATGATACTTCAGCACCTGTCACTCACTGAAACTAATGGCAGTTAGGCTCTAAAGTATCTTCAAGGATGTGGGCTGGAGCGAAGGCCTGAGTACCAAACTGATTACATCCTACTAAGTCGTGAGCCGAGGGAAGGGATCTTGAGGTGGAATTCATAGCCAGCCCAGACTGAGCATTGCTCTCCTGACAACACTGTAAATTCAGTCTGTCCTCTCAGGTCTTTCTTAAGTGGAGGTAAGAATGTGGGCAGGGTGTTTCTTTGTTCAGGAAATATCGTCTTCTTTTCTCAGATGATATATGCTTTATGGGGAATCTTATGTTAATCCTAATGAAGATGTACTGGCTGCATCGGGGCAATCCAAGATCCCTGGAGCCAGAATGTCCTTGCTCTGCGTTTCCCCAACTCTTGGCTGAATAGGAAACATGTAGTCTGAGGAGTTCTGTCAATCTGAATAACAGTAATTTAAAACACACATTATTGAATTAATTTAAATCACAACACACATTCACAATTCACTTGTCTTGAAGATTTCAAGATAGAAAAGGGTACTGAAAATACTTGTTTGAGCTTTTAAACAGCAGCTTTCCACTGAAGAAAAAAAGATTTCCCTTTGCATTCAACAGGAAAAAACATCATTTTGGAGGAGGAACTGGTTGAAGCATTAAGAGAGTGGAGACTCATTTCAGGCTAGACATAAGGAAAAACTTCTTTACAAGTAGAGTACCGAAGGTTTGGAACAGGCTCTCCCCTAAGAGGTGGTACAATCACCCACCCAGGCGATCCTCAAAAAACATCTTGATGCCCACCTTGCTGGGGTTATCTGATCCCAGCAGTCTTTCCTGCCGAAGTGAAGGGGGGCTGAACCTGGTGATCTGTAAGGTCCCTTCTAGCCCCTAACATCTATGAAACCATGAAGCGGCTGTGTGCCCTTCAGGCTAGATCCTCGATCCTCAAAAGGTATTTAGTGACTGAGAGCAATACTTTGTTATTAAATCCTTTTTTGAACGTGTTTGCTCTATGTATTATGTTGCTAAAATTCTCTATTTGCATGATGAACAGCTTTTTAAGGGGACTGTTTACTCACCTTTGCTAAAAGGACCAGAGATGTAAAGGACCCATGAAAAGCCTCTTGACAACAGTCACAGTGGAAGACTGCAGGACTGTCAGGAGCCCTGGTATAAGGGCATGGTGGAGAAGGGATGGAGAGGCATGACCAGGGAAGGAAGATCCTGCTAGTCCTGTATGCATACAGGAAGCCTTCTACAATGTAGATAACCTATCTAAATTATGTCAGGGGTCTCTCCAGTACCCAGAGAAGGTCATGGCTTGAATTCGCCAAAAATTTCAAAATATGATTTATACTCCAAACTAGAATGTATTTTCCAAAACTACCAAGCACCAGAAAATCTACTTTTCACCTAGCTATTAAATCCTTTTAATTTCTTCTTCCAGCCACAGCTACTTTGCCCCCTCTGAAGTCTGGTGTACATATAGAAATTATGCCAGTGTAACTGAAATCATTTTGACAATGTGAAGCAAACCCTTGTCTGGACACCCACATCTCACCTTAAGGCCAATTATATTCACTAACTTGTTCCCATATATTCAAGAAAAATCAAATTTAAACCTAATTAAGAGCATCCACAGAGGAGCTCAGGCTGGTTTAACCAGGCAGGGGTGAGTTTGGGAGAATATTCTCCCCCATCTCCAGTGCTGCCCATGGCTTGATCTCTGATCTTAATCACCACATAGCTTTGCTCTCCTCAGCTTTTCCTCACATTAGCTTCATGCAGTAGTTTCTCCCTCCGTCTCTAGCTTCTCAATACTTTGTGTGTGACATGTGGCACTTTATAGTTCACTGGCATTCACACTCCCCTCCCCCTCAGTATTGACCTTCATTCTGTTCAGGTGCATCTAGCTAGCACAGGGCCTTGGAATTAAATTCCCTTGGGCACTGATTAATTTACCTTTCAACACTTGCTATCTCTGCCTCTGTGTCCTTGCATCTACCTAGTTGCTCAAAAAGCCTCTTTCTGGCACTCACACTACATTTTGCAGAAATTCCCCCTCACCAAAGAGGTCTATTCCTTGCATTCACTTTCTTGACGTCTCCAGTGCAATCAACCTGTGCTCCTCTGTACATCCCACTGTCAGGTTGCCCCCAGACAGTATCTCTCACTTCTCTCCTCCTGATTTTCTCAAGAGTATATGAAATTCAAAAGTAGTTTAATGGCTATTTTGCCCCAGAAAGATCCCTGAAAGCCAAGTGTCTTCTGTGCTCCAGCCCCTGCCCATGCAATGCTGATCCACAATTGTTCAAAAGCCAAGAAGTCTGATGGAGAGTTGCTTCATTCCCTGTCTGAGGTCTAACCAACGTGGCTTGCCTAGCATAAGCTTGTGTACAACACCACTGTCTCTGACCAGCTTTGAATGCAGAGGTCTTGTGATTGCAAGAGTGCAGGCTGCCAGGTAACCTAGACCATGGCAGTTTTGAGGACGTGGGGGCCCTCATGGTGGCTGGGTACTCACAAGAAGAAGGCAGCAAGGTGGCAATTTAATCAAAAGCTCCAAGGTGAAAATAGTGAGAATGGAGGAAGTGATTAGTGGCAGACTGTTGAATGTGACAGTGGAAAAGTGGGGAACAGAAATACAAATTTTAACGTCTTTGTCCCTATGGAGAGAAAGGCCAGGTGCCAGCTCTTTAGGAAACTGGCAATTTGTGTGGTGAGTGGAAGGCCCTGGGTGGCGGCAGGGGATTTTAACTCTGTAATTGAGGCAGGGGAGAGACAAAGAGTAGGTGAGGTGGAGGACACGGGTAGCTTGGGAAGGCTGCTTTGTAGCATTTTAAAAGATGAAACTTTAAAAGAGGTTTGGGAAGGAGAAAAAAGTGGCGACAAGTGGACCTCAAAGCACAGGTGCACTTTTGCGGTGATTTTTGTTTTTATTTCAAAGAATTTTAAAGTCATCAAGAAGGAAGTTTTTAGCAGTGGGTGTCACTGACCATTGTATGTTAAGAGGGGAGGTGGAGGCAGGGCGCAGCAGCATGAGCGGGCAGGGCCTATGGAAATGAAACGTGGTTGCTGGAAGAGGAGGGATGTAAGGATTCTAAAGAACACAGTAGGGGCTTGCAGATACTTCATATCCA